CTCTCTGGTCAAATTGTTTAAAATAAATAAAGTTAAATTTAAAAAAAAATATTTTAAATCTCTCTTAAAAAAAAGAAAAAATTATCAGAGGCCTTCTTGAGCGATGCCATTAATTTCCCCATGACCCGCCTCATGCGTGTGCTACTCGAACCCCTTGTCTTGCCTTTATTCTTTATAGCACTGATCCCAACCTACCTCAGTTCATGTTTTCTGTTCAGTTTCCATCTCTACCAACTGAAATCTCAGCTCCATAAAAGCAGGAACCTTGCTTTCTTTCACAACTAGATCCACAGTCATAACAGTGCCTGACATACCGTATGATATTTTTCTAATGCATATTTATTGAGTGAATCCATGCTACAAATTCAGAACGTGAAGTGCAGGCTGAGTTAGCAGCCTGTTCTTAGCTATCCAGTAGGTGAGCGGTGAGGCCAGAACTTAAGTGCTGGTCTAGGACACCTCTGTCCTCTAGGGCCTGAGAGCCTACGCCTCATCCTCACACACACACACACACGCACACACACACACGTGAAGTTACCTGGTGGCACATGACCCAAGACCAGGAGAGCCACAATGAGCAGATACAGCTGTGTCATGGCCACAGGCCTCTGGAGGTTGTGGAGGAGAGGAACCGAGAGAGCTGAGCCTTGCAGCTCACCCCCAGCCTTTATTGGGCTGCAGGTGAAGGAAGGGCTGTGGGCAGCCAACCTAAGCGGGAGAATGAGATGTGTGGCCCCAGGACTGGGACTCAGCCAGCTACGTGGGAATAGGGCAGCCGCCTCTTCCAGAGGCTGCTGAGCTCTTGAACTGGGGAGGCTGCTGAGCTCTGAAGCTGGGGACAGAATTTTCTGAGACAATGGCTGTGAACAGAAACTGGACATCTTCCTGGGACCAGCAGTTAGCATAATGGCTATGTCGCTGGACTCCCATGTAGTCGACCACAGTTCGAGTCCCGGACCCAGTGGCTTAAACTCACACTGGGTGTGTGTGTTTGCATGCCCAAGATCCCGAGAGGAGAATAAAGGAGAAGGAATTGCGGCATGGCCATCCACCCTGGGGGGAGATTTCTCGCTTTCCATCTCTCTGTCTCTCTGTCTTTCTGGTGAGCTCACACGCCCTATAGCAAAAACCTCTCCAAAAAGAAAAATAGAAAAAGAAAGAAACAACATCTTCCTCACCTGAAAGGGAGGGGAGAGCCTTGACTTGAGAGGGACCTAGTTGAGTCCTAGTGTCCTTTCCCACACATTGCTGAGACCTTGGTCAAGTCACTTACCCTTTCGGAGTCTCAGGCTGTCATCTAGGAAGCGATGACAAGCCTTCCTTACAAAGCTAATAAATGGAGGTGTCTCTTCTAACGCCAAGCAGCTGGGACTAGAATCCACTGGCCCATCTGGAGAGCATGTATCGGGCTGGCTCTGTTACGGAAGCCAGATCACACCTGGCAGGCCGAAGTTCAGATCTCAGCCCTGGCATGGCAGCTTGATAAATGCACCAGGCATACGTGCATGCCCCAAATCCTGACAGGGTGGAGAATGGAAGAGAAAAGATTGTAGCATGACCATATCCCTTTGGGGGTGCTTTCTCTCTCTCTCTGGTGAGCACACACATCTTCCAAAAATTAAAAAAATAAAAATGTGTTTATGCCTACTGTAAAATGAGAAGGTGAGCCAAGCTCCATGGCTGGTTGGGGCAGCCAGATTCCACATGACCAACCCAGCAGTTTGAGGCTCAGACCTAGTGGTTTGAGAAACACACCAGGCACATGTGTATGCATGCCCAAATCCCAAAATGAAAGAGAGATGGAAGAGAAGGGATTGTGGTGTGACCATTCCCTATGGGGGGGGCGGGGGGATATTGTCTCTCTCTCTCTCTCCCTCCCTCTTTCTCTCTCTATTTCTCTCTCTCTGACAAGTACATGAATCCTCTGGCAAAATTTTCATCCTAAATGGAAAGAGTAGGGTAAGTAAGTGGCATGGAAGTTAAGGTAACTGAATCTCATGTGGCTAGCTGTGTGGTTTGGGTCCCAGACCCAGTGACTTGAAAAACACACCAGATGTATGTGCACATGTGCCCAAAATCTCTAGAGGAAAAGGAAGGAGAAGGGATTGTGGTGCGGCCATCCCCTCTGGGGAGTGATTTCTCTCTCTCTCTCTCTCTCTCTCTCTCTCTCTCTCTTTCTCTGGCTAGCACTAATGCCCTGTAGCAAACAAACAAAAAAAAAAAAAAGAGGGGGGATAATAGTCTCTACCTCATAGCCATTAATTGCTATCTAATTTAGAGAATTAAGTGAAATAATGGGGATTCTTAAAGTGTGGTCCCCAAACCAGCAAGCAGCAGCAACACCCAGAACTTGTTGGAAAAGCAAATTCTTGAGCCCTACCCCAAACCTACAGAATCAAAAGCTGTGGGGGTGAGGGATGGGGTCCTACCGAGCTGTGGTTTAACAAGTTCTCCAGGTGATGGCACCAACACTTGAGCACCACTGGTATAGCGTATGTACAGAGCTTAGATGGTGTCTGTACACAGGCTTATTTTTTACTTTTTTTTTGGAGAGGTTTTTTGTTTTTATTTTGTTTTGTTTTGTTGCTATAGGGCGTGTGCGCTCGCCAGAGAGACAGAGAGAAATCACCCCCCGGGGGGATGGCCACACCACAATCCCTTCTCCTCCATTCTCCTCTCGGGATCTTGGGCATGCATGCACACGTGCCCGGCATGAGTTTAAAGCCACCAGGTCCAGGAATCGAACCGCGGTCGACTAGATGGGAGTCCAGCGACATACCCATTATGCTAACTGCTGGTCCCTGTACGCAGGCTTCTAAGTCACATAGTGAAAGATGAGAAGGAGAAAGAAAGCATTTCCCCGGCAGAGAAACAGAATGTGCCTGAAAGAATGGGGCCTGGACTTGCTTGGAGGGGAGCAGTTGAAATGACCCTGCAGAAGACATGATGAGTTGTACTGTAGTCAACAGAAGAGACTGTATGGGTTTTTTTTGGCTTTGTTTTTGTTTTCATTTTTTCGGAGCCAGCAGATGGTGTAATGGTTACAGCGTTGGACTCCCATGTAGTTGACCACAGTTCAAGTCCTGGGCCTGGCAGCTTAAAACTCACACTGGATATGTGTGAGTGCATACCCAAGATCCCTAGAGAAGAAGGGATTGTGGTGTGGCCCCCCGCCCCCCCCCAGGGAGTGATTTCTCACTTTCTGTCTCTTTCTCTCTCTGTCGCTCCAGTGAGTGTGCACACCCTATAGCAAAAATCTCTCTTTAAAAAATTTTTTTAAAAAAGAGGTTGTATTTTTTTTAATTATGTTTTTATGTTGTGAAAGAAGAAGAAAGACAGGGACCCCCAACAAGGATTCCCACCCCCAGGCTCTGCCAGTCCAGATCATGGGCACATGCGTGTATGCCCAGCATGTTCAGAGGGACCTGTTACGTGAACCCAGCACCTTTCTCATGTGCATCCAGTGTGTTACTGCTGCACCACCTCCTGGCCCCTAAAAGTTTTTTTGAGCAAGGATGTAATCTGTTTGGATAATAATGTTGTCCTTTTTTTTTTTTTTTGGAGTCGTTTTTGCTATAGGGTGTGTGCATTCGCCAGAAAGACAGAGAGAAACAGAGAGATAGAAAGCAAGAAATCACCCTACAGGAGGGATGGCCACACTGCAATCCCTTCTCCTCCATTCTCCTCACGGGATCTTGGGCACGCATGCATATGTGCCGGCGTGAGTTCAAGCCACTGGGTCTAGGACTTGAATAGCTGTCGACTGCATGGGAGTCCAGAGACATAGCCATTATGCCAACTGCTGGTCCCGATTTTGTCTTTTATTATTATCATTATTACTAGTGGATGTGTACACTCAGCAGAGAAAGACAGACAGATGGGGGTGGGATTCAGACCCCACAATCCCTTTGCCACCATCTCTTCATTCTGTCAGGATTTGGGGCATGCATGCACACGTGCACATGTGTTTTTCGAGCCTCAGAATTGGGATTCAAACCACAACTGACCATGTGGGATTCGGGTCCCTTAGTCACCAGGCCACAGAGTCGATTCCAGATAACAGTTTTAAATAAAGAAAATGAAACTTGAAGAGGCGAATTAACTTCCTAAGATCATGGAGCCACAGAGTTGCAGGGCTGGGACTGGAAGTCAAGTCACCTCACTCCCCAACAATGACGGTGCTGCACCACACACAGCCATCTTGCAGGTGGGGAAGGGAGGTTCAGAGTGCCAAGCCCCGGAAGGAAGCCAGGCCTGAGTCAGTTCAGCATCTGCCCCAGACCTGCGTGGGCTGAGCCGTTCTACTGGGCTGCCATGGGTGCTTTTCAAGCTGGACACTTGGACCCCCTCAACCATGACAATGAGCCCACCCACAGGTACAGCCTGGTCGCCATGGCCCCACATACATACACACCCCTGTCCCTCAATACCCAAAGGGAAGCACTTGACTCAAAGAGCCTGGATCCTGGACCCACAGGTCAACATGACCAGGGCCCTGCAGCCAACTTCTATACCAAGATCAGTGTCTCTTTCCTCCTCCTACATGTCTGAGAAAAGTTTATAAAAGAAAGAAAGAAAAGCCCTGAACCATAATAGAAAGGGACAGTAGGCTGAAAGGCAGAGACCTGAGACCCAGGACCAGCTAATCCTGCTGGCAAGTGAATGATGCCTAAGCAAGATGTTCAGGGCCAGCTGCTGGCTCGTGGTTGCAGAGACTGGATTCCACACAGCCAGCTGGACAGTTCAAGTCCCAGAGCCCACAGCTTGAAGAACACACCAGGCATACATGCTCAAAATCTCAAAAGGAGAAATAGAGAAGGGATTGCGGCAAGAGCATCTCCCATGGGGGATGATTTCTTACTTTCCTTGTGTCTCTCTGCCTCTCTCCAGAAAGTGCACACACCCTCTGGCAAATTTTTAAAAAAGAAAGAACAAATAGGATAGTCAAAACTCTTCGGTGCAAGACTTTCTGAGCTCTCTCTTCCCCCAACCCATCACCCCAAATTAGTTCTCCCTCCAAAGCAGTTTCTCAAGGTGGGGTCCACCACCTCTCTGTATCAGGATCACCCGGACCCTTGTTTAAAATGTAGATTCCTGAACCCCTTTCCCCTCTTTAGCTCGGTAGAATCCTCCTCTCTTGGAAGATGGCTCTGGGAACGTGTAACAAGTTCCTCAAGTGGTTTTACTCAGAGCCAAAGGGGCATCCTCTGCCGTTGCAGAGGTGGATACATAGCTGGGGATCCAGAGCCCCCACGCTAGCCCTCTCATGTCTCCCACCCCAACACCCACAACACCGCCACCCCTAGCCAAGGCGTCGAACTGGAGGCAGCCGGTTGGTTGAGCTTTGCACTCAGAAAAGTGCTTGAGCGACCAAGGCCTTGGGGCGGGGACCCCAGGGCGGCCCAAATGGGGCGGGGCTGGATGGGGCGGGGTGGGGGCTCCTCCCCCGGCCCGGGCTGCTGGGCTGGACCGCCTGAGGGGCTGCGAGCCGAGGCCAGTGGGACTGTCTGGAGCACCCCGCAGCTGAGACAGCGGGAGACCCTAGACCCCTCCCTACGCCAAGGTAAAGCTGCGCGCAGCCGCTGCCAACTTGCAGAAGTTGGAGCGGAGTTCCTCCGGCGCCTGCATGGGGATCTGCAACGCAGGCGGGGCGGGGGGCCTCGAAACCGCGTCCTAGGGGGTGACGTCCTCAGACTCGGAGCCGGGAGGGTTGGGTAGGCTCGGACAAGGACCTCCACCTTAGGGACTCACATCCAGAACCTCCGGGCTGGGAAAACTCGGACCCAGATTCCGGGAACAGCATATGCGTCCCAGAGCCTGTGGGCTCCTCTTTCCGTCCCTCCCCTCCGCTCGAACCCTGACCTGATCTATCACCAAACCTGGGGCCCGGCCAGCTCTCAGCCCCGGCCCCACGACAGCAGCTGAAGGCCATCACGCCGGCCGCTCCTGAATTTTTCACGCAGGGGGCGGGCCAGACACGCTGTTCCCATGGCACCAGGGCACTCGGGTTACAGCCAGAGGGAACCCCCAGACTCTCCTTGCCCTTCTGTAGGACCAACCACTCCGTGGTCCTGCCGCTTCCTCAGACCCCTTGGAACTGAGGAGAGGAAGTAAATCACCAGGGGCCTTCAACCCTCTGCTACACCCCCAACCCAGAATCGTGTGAGAGAGACGGTGGGGGAGATGGGGCAATTCAGATGCCTTTCAAAAGGAGGGCCTCCTATTCTAAGTGGGAGGGGGAGGCGTGTGTATATGGGGTGCATGTGCATGTGCGGACATCCCACCTGGCTGCTCCCCTTCTGCCTGGCTGTATGGATGGCAGATGACCCCGGGTGGGTCATCCTTAAGGCAAGGGAACCTGCCCTTGTGCATGCGTGCCTGTGTGTGTTCACGACCTGGGCACTCACCTCTTCCAGGCAGACCCAGGTTTACCCTGGGCCTGAAACCAGAAAGTACTGCGCCCAGGGAGCTGAGGCGCCTGACTGTTCCTCCAGTTGAACAAGAGAGAACTCTGGAGGAAGCCAACCAAGCAGCTCCCCAGGACCCTATAGAAGGGACTCAAAGCAACTGGCTCACTGCCCATTCCCAGGAACGAGTTAGGAGCAAGCAAAGCTCCCCCCACCAAGAAATGACACTAAACACCCAGCAGGAAGCAAAGACCACTCTGCACCGGCGAGCCAGCACCCCACTGCCTCTGTCTGGCCGGAACCGCCTACCTGTACCGCACAGCACCCTGTGCACAGCACCCTCCACTCAAACCCAGCATCCCCGGCTGGGCCAGTCGGCCTCCCTCAACCCTCCCACCCAGAGACCTTCTCCTGCCCCTGAAAGTTGGTCCTCTGAATCCAGCGACTCTGAAAGCTCCTGGGAGACTCTCTACCGTGTGGTGCTGCTTGGAGATCCCGGCGTCGGAAAGACCAGCCTGGCCAGCCTGTTTGCTGGGAAGCAAGAGCGGGACCTCCATGAGCAGCTGGGAGGTAGGGGCCCTGTGGGCTGGGCTGGGATGCCGCCAAAGGAGTGAAAGCCCTGTCACCAGGGCCTCAGGGCTGCCAAGAACAGGTGTACAAGTCACACACTGTTCAGCCCTAAGGAGCGTCATTCACATCAGGACAGGAGAACGGTACTCCGCTCTGAGTTGTGTGGGCACAGCTTTGCACAATGATCCCGGCTCTGGGGGAGGGAAAGTGCTAACATAGAATGAGAAATTTGCCAGTTTCTTATGGGTAAAGGATGTAGGATTTATTTGCATGTCACAAGAGGGGCAATTCTGATTGAGTATCCAAACATGGTGGGCTCGCACTCAGCTTCAATTCCCCTGCCCTCAGATCCTCCCCCCAGGCCCATAGAAACCCACCCATGGCCACCATCACCTGCAGCAAAATGAAGATCCTTCTGAGAATGGAGGCTCTCAGGCCCAAATTCTGGGCTCTAGGTGGCCTTATTCCCCAAAAAATGCAGTGAGCTGAGAGGGCCAGGGCCCCCCCGGGGAGATGGAGGATGGGGAAAGGATAGAAGTATGAAGATGGCCTCCTGAGGACTGGCCGAGAGAACACAGGGCGAATCAGGAGGCGAGTTGGTTGAAAGCAGAGAGATGGTGGGGACAGTGTGGTCGGGCTCCTTCTCCAGCCTTGACCCCCAGAGTGAAGACCCTGTGGGAGGTGTACCTAGGTACACCTGTGTGTGTTACACATGGAGAGACTGAGGCCCAGAGGGGGTAACATAACTGTCTGCAGCACACACTAAGCCAGAGACAGAGCAGGACTGGAAGAACTTTAACCCTCAGCCAATTTTAACCCGCACCCTTCACTCATTCCATCAAACCAGCTTCTGAGCACCTACTATGTGCCAGGTACTATATTGACACCTACTATGTGCCGGGTACTATATTGACATGGGCTCCTCAGGGAGCTTCTTGACCTACCACAAGAGACAGACATCAAAAAAGCATATGAACATTTCCAAAGAGAAGTGGAGGGGGTGATGTGACCAGAAAGGAAGCTAGGGACACCCCCCCCACCCTCCTAGGCCTGCCCTGCCTTCCTGAGATCCTGCTCTCCCCTCGGTTGCAGGAGATGTATATGAGAGGACCCTCACCGTGGATGGAGAGGACACCACACTGGTGGTCGTGGACACCTGGGAGGCCGAGAAACTGGTATGGCACTGTAGGTGGGATCTGCGGGGAGGGTGGTGAGCCTACTACCAGACTCCTGGCCCTTCCTGAGACACCACAGAGCAGGGTCCAGTGGGGGCCCTCCTCAGCAACCCCCCAAAAAATCCACATGCCCTAAGCAGTCTTCCCAATCAGAGACAAAAACCTCATGACCTTGACCTCACTCCACTAGCTTCCCCTACTTTTTCCTTCTCCCTCCACTGATCCCCTCCCAGCAGCCACCCCAGGATGTGCCTCTCCCCCAGAACTCTTGTCATTGTCACCCTCATGCCACCTCACCAACCCACTTGTGCAGAAGGATCACTGGAGTTGACACCAACGTGCCTAAGGTTGAACCCTTCCCTTTTTTCTTTTTCTTAGTATTTGTGTAGCTTTGTGTAATCAACTATCCACTCTGAGCTTCAGCTTCCTCATCTGATAAATGGGTCAGTCATTCCTGCCTTGCTCATCAGTTATTCATTTTTTAATTCTTATGCAATTTCAGAGGTGAGCCCAGTTTGGAGCATGAAAAAAATGCTGAACGGGGGTGAAGAATTGTAGATGATAATTCTTATTCATTATAACTTGGTAGCTTGTGAAGAAGAAAATCAAAGAGTAGTCTTCCCTAACCCTTCCAAAGTGGGAAGAGAGCAACTGGCAGGGACATGTTGCTATTGTTATTTTCTTTCTTTGCATTTGGTTTTTAGTTTTTATGTAAGATACATGCACTCACCAGACAGACAGAGAGAGAGAGAGAGAGTGAGAAATCATCCCCCAGGCCGGATGGCCATGCCACAATCCCTTCTCATTCATTCTCCTCTCAGAATCTTGAGCACATATGCACACGCACCTGGCATGATTTTCAAACTGCCAGAACCAGGACTTGGACCTCAGAGTGGCCATGTGTCATCTAGTGCCTTAACCTCCGAGCCACTGGTTGATCCTCCTTTTACTATTATCTTGTTTGGATTTTCTTTTGCTACACAGGTAATATGTAGGGTCTTCGAAAAGTTCATGGAAAATGCACATTATGGCAAAAAATATACATAGATTTCCATTTTTTTGTGCCAAAATAAAATTGTATTTCAATTACATTTTACTGTGAACTTTTTTTAACTGCCAGAGGGCACACGTGCTCACCAGACAGAAACAGAGAGACAGAGAAGGAGAAAGTGTGGTCATATCTCAGTTTCTTTCTCCTCCATCTCTCCAAATGGTCAGGATTTAGGGCATGCACATGCACACACACACAGACAGAGAGATAGAGAGAGAGAGAGAATGTCTTTCAAGACATTGAGGCAGGATTCATACCTTGATCAGTCATATGGGATCCGGCTACTTTAATCACTAGACCACAAAGCCAGCCTCATAAACTTTTTTTAAGAGGTTTTTGCTATAGGGTGCATACGCTCGCCAGAAAGAGAGAGACAGAAAGGGAGAAATCACCCCCCAGGGGGGATGGCCATGCCACAATCCCTTCTCCTCCATTCTCCTCTTGGGATCTTGAGCATACACGCACACGCGCCCGGCATGAGTTTAAGCCACCGGGTTTGGAATTCAAACCACAGTTGATTGCATGGGAGTCCAGCAGCATAGCGATTATACCAACTGCTGGTCCCAGTCCCATAAACTTTTTAAAATTATTTATTCCCTGAGCAACAGAGAGAGAGAGACAAACAGTGGGGGAGAAGGAGAGATAAGCCCCACCAACAGGGTCCTCATTCTGCAGTGACCCCCCCACTCTCAGCTAGCCTGGATCAGTACTTGGTGTGCTCAGGGGGTTCACGGAACACAAACCCAGCACCTTTCCCACACACATCCCATTGTATCACCACTGCCTGATCCCAATTTTCCCATGAACTTTTTAAAGTCCCTTTTACATACTTGTAAAACTTTGAGGAAATACACCTAAGCAAAGAGAAAAATCTAAAAATCCCTTGGGGTCTCATCTCTCTAAGGAAGTAAGCACCAAAGCTCTCAGATAGCAAGCGGAATTCAAACCTAGATCTACAGAACCCCAGAACCTGTACCCTATGCACTAAGACTGCCCCTCTCCACCCCGCTGGGAGTTTCACCCTCTGAACCTTCAGCCCAGGTGTCGCTCCTTCACTCACTCACTCATTCATTCAGAAATACTTGCTGGTGTCTGTGATGGGTCAGGACATTGGAGAGAGTGGTGAGGCTGACGTGACCCCTGCCTGGTTTCGTGGAGCTCACAGGCTGATGAGAGAAGGTCTACTTTTTAGATGCAGTTGAGCATCTTGTGGAGTGGAGTCAAGTAAGTTAAGAAGAGTGGTCTGGGGACCAGCAAGTGGCATAGTGGTTTAGGCACTGGACTTCTACATGGCTGGCTACAGTCTGAGTCCCAGATCTGGTGGCTTGAAACTCACACCAGGCACATGTCCAGAATCCCTAGAGAAAAATGGAGAAGGGATTACGGTATGGTCATATCCCCTGGGGGGGTGATTTCTCACTTTCTGTCTCTCCAGCAAAAGCATATGCCCTATAGCAAAAACTTTTCTTAAAAAAAGGGGACCAGCAGATAGTGTCCCTGGACTCCCACATGGTTGACTACAGTTTGAGTCTTGAACCTGGCAGCTTGAAACTCACACTCGGCGCGTGTGCGTACATGCCCAAGATCCCAAGAAGAAAATGGACAAGACGGGATTGCAACATGGCCACCTCTCCTGGGGGTGATTTCTCACTTTCTGTCTTTCTGTTTCTCTCTGTCTCTCTGGTGAGCACACATGCCTTAGAGCAAAAATCTCTTTCTCTCTCTCTCTCTCTATATATATATATAATTTAATTCTTAAAATTTAATTAATTTATTTATTTTAATTTGACCAGAGAGAGAGAGAAAAAGAGAAAGAGAGAAAGCAAGCCACCAGGTCCAGGACTCAAACCATAGTCAGCCATGTGGGAGTCCAGCACCCCAACCACCATGCCACCTGCTGACCCCTATTATTATTATTTTTTAAATTTGCTACAGGGCATGTGCACTTACCAGAGAGTGACAGAGAGAGAGAGAAAAAAAAAAAAGCAAGAAAGCAAGCCACCAGGTCTGAGACTCAAACTACGGTCAGCAATATGGGAGTCCAGCGCCCTAGCCAGCATGCCACCTACTGGCCCAGACCACATTCTCATTGGGTTCCTATCTACCAATACATGTACCAACTGACTTTTGTAATTCTAACGCAGGACAAATTTTCCATTTTCCATATGTATTTGTGCAATGAAAGATTGAATGGTCAAGACCCACCCTCTTGTTCTACAGATGGGCAAATTGGGACCCAGAGGGAGGAAGAAACCAGTCCATAATCAAGGTCAAGACCCACATCTGTGTGACTCCATCCCAAGGTTACCTGGCCTGGGGTGTGATCAATAGGCTGTTAAGAACTTACCTAGAACTTATCCCCCATCCCTTCCTTCTTACCTGCCTTTCTTTCTTCCTTTTTTAGTTCTATGTTTAGTTGACACATAATCATACATATTTATGAGGTACAGTGTAATGTTCTGATACATGTATACATTCTGCGGTCATCCATTCAGGGTACTTAGCATCTCCTCATCTCAAATCTCTGTATTTCCTTGTGTGGGAACATTCAAATTCCTCTCTTCTAGCTGCTTTGAATATACAATAAATTATTATAAACCATAGTCATCCTACTGTGCTCCAGAACACTAGGGCTTAGTCCTCCTCTGTGACCATAATTTATACCCACTAGCCAACCTCTCCCCACCCCACCCCCACTCTCCTTCCTAGTCTCTGGTAATGGCCGTCTGCTCTCTGCTTCTATGAATGCGGTCAACTTTTTTTAGCTTCCACATATGAGCGAGAACATGTGGTATTTGTTTTTCTGTGCCTGGCTTATATCACTTGATATTGAGTTGTTGGAAAAGTTATGACACATTTTTACGTAGACAAATGTAGAAAAATGACATCATGACTTTTCCAACAACCCAAAATAATGTCCTCCAGGCCCATCCATGTTGCCACAAATGATAGGATTTCATTCTCTCATGACCGAAGAGTATTCCATTGAGTGTATTGTATACACACTGCGTTTTCTTTACCCACTCACCTGTTGATGGACACAGGTTGCTGATTCCACACCTTGGCTGCTGTGAATACAGAACTCATCCCCCTCCCCTTTAACAACATGGTCCAGGAATCTGAGTACTTAGCATATCCATCATCTCAAATCTCTTTAAAATGCTTTACTATTCTTATTTGGCTTTCAAAAACTTTCTCTGGCTTCTTTCCACCCCAGCCCCACAACCTATGCTTCCACCACTCCAGGCCTTAACTCTGACTGCTCCTCTCTCTAGAATCTCTTCCCTCCTCCTTGGCCTGCTCATCATTTCAAGTCCCACTCACCAGTCCACTGTGAAGTCCTCCCATACTCTGCCAGGTTAACTAGGTCTGGCCTCCCCATCTCCCTCCCATGACTCTTGAATCCACTTACATATACCTGTTTTTTGTGTCTTTTTTTTTTTTTTTTTAAGATTTTTGCCATAGGGCGCATGCACTCACCTGAGAGAGAAAAAGAGAGGGAAAGTGAGAAACCACCCACTGGGGGATGGCTATGCCACAATCCCTTCTCCTCCATTCTCTCAGGATTTGGGACATGCACATGTGCCTGCCATGATTTTCAAGCCACCAGGTCTGGGACTCAAACTCTGGTTGGCCAGTGGGAGTCCAGTGCCTTAACCACCACACCACCTGCTTGCCCCACTGCATATGCCTCTTAATGGTACTTACCATACTGCATTATAGCTCTCCATTTCCATAGCCTCCCAGCCAGACCATGAGCTTCTGGAAGACATGACCTATTTATTAGTCAGCTATAAGGTAACTACCGAGGTGGTCCAGCCTCAGAGCTTTCCCTGACAAAAGATCATCCTCCAGAGCAGACTATGAAAACACTAGTTCTTTCCTTTCCTTGGCCAAATGACTTGGAAGGACTCTACTCCTTTAAAGTTCCCTTTGCCGGCTCATCCCCTTCTGAACTGGCACTCCACAGGGGCTCCTTCACCTCCCTCCCTTCAAAACTGTCCTGAAAAATGCCTTCCTGAAGTCAGCCTCCTGTTCTCACTTCTTTTCCTTTTTTTTTCTCTTAGTTCTGGATTACAGAGGGTCAAAAGAACTGTTCAGTAAGGCCTAACCCTCCTCAGAAACCAGACAAATGATCTGAACAAGCAAAGCCGGACCCTTCTTAGCAAGAAAAGGGAACAAGTAGGGGCCAGCCAGGTGGCATGGTGGTTTGGGTGCTGGATTCTCACATGACTGATCAGGGTTCGTGTACCAGACCTGGGGGCTTGCTTTCTCATTTTCCCTCTCTCTTTCTCTCTGGTGAACACACATGTTCCGTAACAAATTAAATAATAATAATAATGATAGATAGAATTAAATAAATAAGAAAGAAAGAAAAGGGACCAAGTAAATCTCTTGTCTCCCATGCTTAGCCTTCAGAAGTAAGCAACGAATGAAAGACTGCAGTGTCCTTAGCCCAATTTTTCAAGCAGAGAAACTGAAGCTTCAAGATCAGTGGTTTTCACAATGTGACCCAGGGACTTAAGGCAGAATTTGGCCCCCAGCCTGTCCAAGTATAAACCTCACCCTCACCTCACCCATTAGACTATCCCTGCCCCACATTTCTCAGCCAGGGCCTAGGCACCCTCTGAGGAGGGGCTGGGGTCCCTTGCCCACAGGACGAGAGCTGGACCCAAGAGTCGTGGCTGCAGGTGGGCAGCGCCTACGTCATCGTGTACTCCATCGCAGACCGGGGCAGCTTTGAGAGTGCCTCTGAGCTCCGCATCCAGCTGCGACGCACACACCAGGCAGACCACGTGCCCATCATCCTCGTGGGCAACAAGGCAGACTTGGCCCGCTGCCGGGAAGTGTCTGTGGAAGGTGAGCCCTCCACCCTGCCCTTCTCTCTCCGGCCCATCCTGCCCCTCTTCAAGTGCTCTTCATCTCTGTGACTGCTCCTGCCAACCCCTCCGTCCAAACCAACCCCTCCTCAGTCCTATCAAACCCACCTCCACTAATCCCACATCCCCCTCCCTCGGTATCCACTGCCTCTCCCCTACCCTGGCATCCACTTTAGCCTGGCCAGTCCCCATACTTCTCTGCCCCCACTCAATCAGGCCTCCTCATAGGGTGCCAGAATGTCCCAGAACCAGAGCTGACTGTCACTTCTTTGCTTAAAAATTTTCCTATGTCTCCCTCTGGCCTTAATCAAAGACACTTTATCCAGACATGATAGGCCCCACCAAGAAACACGCTGCACACATGTGTGTGTGTGCCCCAAATCCCAAAAGCAAAGAGAAGTGAGGGATTCCAGTGTGGTCATTCTCCACAGGGGTGCTTTCTCACTTGCCCTCTCTTTCTAGGTCTCTGTCTCCCACAGGGCAAGCACACACACCCTCTGGCAAAATTTGAAAGAAAAAAAAAAGGCTTACATTTGAAAATCAAAACGAAAACACTTTTATTGGCTCCAAAATACAGTGAGAAAAATTATAAACTCAAATTTCACAAAGCCCTGTCTACAAAATATAATACTGTTAGCCAGCAACTACCCAGACCTCAAGTTGCAAGTTCCCAGACCTCATCCCAAACCTACATAATCAGAATTCCTGAGGGTGGGCCCAGGATACTGCATTTTAACAAGCTCCTCCAGGGTTATACACAGTAATACACAGCTGATTAGACCTCTTACCTGACGTCCAGTTTGGTCCCTAGCTGTCCTAGCTTCCCTGTCTTCCCAACCTCATTCCACTACAGGTATCAGTCACTAGCCTAGGAACTAACTCCTGAAAGCCCGGCCTGATTTATCTACGACTCCCCTGACACCAGTACTAGGTGTGGGCACACTGGATTAAAAACTGTTTCCGATTGAGACTGAACACACCTCTCTCTCTCTTTCACCGCTTTTGGTTATGGCTCCTGCACCCCGCTCGTCTGACACCGCCTCGGCAGAGGGCCGCGCCTGCGCAGTGGTGTTCGACTGCAAGTTCATCGAGACTTCAGCTACTCTGCAGCACAACGTGGCCGAGCTCTTCGAGGGCGTAGTGCGCCAACTGCGCTTGCGCCGCCGGGACTGCGCGGCCCAGGAGCCACCTGCACCTAGGAGGCGGGCCAGCCTTGGCCAGCGCGCGCGTCGCTTCCTGGCGCGTCTGACGGCCCGTAGCGCCCGCCGCCGGGCACTCAAAGCTCGTTCCAAGTCCTGCCACAACCTGGCCGTTCTCTGAGGCCTCCAGCCCTCTTGGGGGTGGAGAAACACTAGGATGCATTCTGGGCTCTTCCAATGCCAACAAGAGGCATAGGCAGCATTGCCTGGAGACAGCATCGTGGGTCTTGCTTGCCTCCTGCCTTAGTGGCTGGAGCATTGCCCAGAGCCAGAACCTCGGGGACCCCTCCACCCTGGAGAAGTGATGGACAGACTGTGGGGCAGAAGCCTCAAACTGGGCACAAACTAGGATTTTTTTTTTTTTTTTTTTTTTTTGTCTTTTAGTAGAAATCCTTCTAGGTTCTGGGCTCTGGCCAACCCTCGGAATCCCCTACAATAAACCATACAAGAAGGATGTCCTGTCTGAATGCTCAGACCTCCCTCCTTGGACTCTTGCAGATATGTCTCCACCTCCTGCTGTCCTGCCTACACTGGCTGCACACGGGTTTAGCCTGCTGGCCTGGGTGTCAGGGCCAATCAGTAAAGTCATTGGATCAATTATGTGCTCAGGCCCTCTTCCAACAACGGGGTATGATCCCTGCCCCAGGTCTTTGAAAGAGACATACTGAATCACAGTCGCAGTTCAGTGTAATGGCATGCTATTCAGCTCATTTAAAAGACTACAGATTCACAGATTATTATCTAGAAGGAATCTCAGCCCTCATCCTGGCAAGACTTGTAGAAGCTGGTGTCTGTTGAGAGCGTAATAAACTGTTGCAATTGTTAGTTAATCCTGACAACACCCGGGAGGAGGGAGCTGTTTTATTAATTAGGAGACTGAGATACAGGACAAGGAAGTCCTCATACCCAAGACCATACAACTGTATAGTGAAGTTGCTAGGATTATTCCAACTCAGTCGTGTTGGACTACAGCCCATGCCCAATTTATCCACGGTCTTCTTTAAGAACATGAGAAAATGGGGCAGGCTCCAAGGCGCAAAGATAATGCTCTGCTCGTAAAGCTGTTATAGATCCCATACAACAGTTGTGGTTCAAATCCCCTGGCCCAGTCAGCCTGAAACATGCCAGGCGTGCGTGCGAGTGCCCAAGACCCCATATGATGGAGGAATGGAGGGAGGGGACCATGGCATGACCAGACCCTGCCGAGGGTGCTTCCTTCTCTCTCTCGTTCTCATGTGCATGCACACACACTCTGTCATGAGTAAAAAAAATTAGGGGGACAAGCAGATGATGTGGTGATTAAGGCACTTGACTTCTACATGGTCAACCACAGTTCGAGTCCTGGACCCAGCAGCTTGACACTCACACAGGGCTCCTGTGTGTGCGTGTCCAAAGTCCCAAGAGAAGAATAAAGGAGAAGGGATTGCAGTGTGGCCATTCCCTCAGGAGATGATTTCTCATTTTCCCTCGCTCTGTCTCTCTGGCAAGCACACATGCCCTATAGCAAAAATTACTCAAAAAAAAAAAAAAATTTAATGTGCCAAAACACTATTGAGTCTTGGGGGAAAACAGGCTTTCAAACACAGTTTTGCATACAATTTAATGGAGGATGAGAGGGGCGAATTCCATGAAACTCAATCCATGAATGTTCAGCCTGGGCCCTGATTTAGGCCAACCCACTCATTTTCCAGACATGGAAACTGAATCCCCGAGAGGGGAAGTGGGCATCACAGGGTCACCCAGCCAGCCAGGACTAGACTAAGGGCCCAGCCTGCTCCTCAGACCTCCCTTGGCTGTGTGGGAGGAAGGAGGTTGTTGGGCTGCAAGTTCATCGAGACTTCGGCCACTCTGCAGCACAATGTGGCTCAGCTCTGACTGGGGACAGGGCTGGGTGTTGGAGCTCAGGTCAGTAGTTTCCAGCCCAAGGGGAAGGGATGTCACTGCTTTGCAAGAAGAACAAGATGCACACGGTTTGGAGCATTGTGTCCCTGACGCCAGACACTATGCAGACACTGTGCAGAGAAGGCTGAAGCGGGAGCCAACCAGCTCCAGCCGTGACCTCCCCTCCCCAAGTGTTGCCGGCAAGACACGGATGATGGCACTTATTCCCCCCATCTCAACCCCAGCCTGAAGAAGGGAAGGGAAAGGAAGGAGGGGCTGCCCCCACCCCAAACTGTCTCCAGCCTGCTGCTGAGGGGGAGGGGCCGTAGCTGTGGAAAGTTGGCAAAGGCAACCGGCAGCAGCCGGGAGAGTGGAAAAAATGATATCAAACCCGGAAAAATGCAGGCCGGATGGAGGGCCCTGGGAGGTGAGAGGGAGAAAGGGAGGGGACCAGGGCAGCCATGGGCTGAGAAAGGAAGAGGGGCCAGGAGCCAGCTTAAAAAAAAAAAGAAAAGAAAAGAAAAACTCCTTCATCTACAAATATGTATTGAGGTCCCACTAAGTGCCAGGCACCATGTTGTGTTCTGGGGAAGCAGCAGTGAACAGAAGGACAGGACATTATACTCCCTGAAGCTCACAGCCTGGTGGAAGAAGCAGACTAAAAAACAAGTGACCAAAACTCATTACAAACTGAGGAGGGGCTAAAAATCAGAGTGGCCAGGGAAGGCCCTGAAGATAACCCAGTTTAGTCCCCTCAATCCATAGATAGGGAAACTGAGGCAAGAAGATGAGAGGGCTTACCCCAGGCCACCCAGAATATAGAAAACATAGTTGAGACCAGGACTAGGGGTTAAGGAGGAGGGAAGAAATAATGCAGACCAGAATACGGTGGCGGGTGGGGAGGATGGAGAGCAAGGGGTGGGCAAGGGGGTGTCCTGCAGTGGGATAGACAAGTGGGCGAGAGCATGGGCCCTGAGTCACGGGGAGTCTGCCTTCTAACCCTGCCCCCCTCCAGCTCTCTGTAAGTTTCCTCACCTATGAAATAGGATTCATGACTATTCCTTCCCTCAGAGCTGACGTGAGGAATCAATTTTTTTTTTTTTGAGAGGTACCAGTAAGACACAGAGAGACAGAGAGACAGAAAGTGAGAAATCACCCCCCAGGGGGATGGCCACATCGCAATCCCTTCTCCTCCATTCTCCTCTGGGGATCCTGGGCACACACTCACATGCGCCTGGTGTGAGTTTTAGCCACCAGGTCTGGTACTCAAACCGTATTCAACCATATGGGAGTCCAGCAACATAGCCATTATGCCAACTGTTGGTCTCTCAATGATTTTTTTTTAGAGGTTTTTGCCTTAGGGCACATGTGCTCACCAGTGAGAGAGAGACAGAGACAGTGAGAGGTAAAGTAAGAAACCACACCCCAAGGGGTATGGCCAACACCACAATCCCTTCTCCTCCATTCTTCTCCCAGGATCTTGGGACACATGCCCAGTGTGCTGGGACTCAAACTGTAATCGACTATGTGGGAGTCCAGCAACGTAACTGCTATACTATCTGCTGGCCCCAGGATTAAATTATTGTAAATGGGGCCAGCTGATGGCATGGTGGTTAAGATACCTGGATCCCATATGAGTGACCGGGCAGTTTGCATCCTGTATCCAGCAGCTTGGAAAACATGCTGGGTACATGTGTGTGCATGCCCAGAAATCCTGAAAGGAAAATGGAGGAGAAGGGACTGTGGCATGGCCAGCCCCCAGGGAATGATTTCTCACTTTATTATCTCTCTCTTTCTCTCCCTCTCCGGAGAGCTCACACACCCTATGACAAATTTTTAAAAATAAAATAAAATAAAATAAATATATAAAGTGGCTAAAACAGTTCCTATATCTAAGAAGAGTCAATAAATGTTGGCTCTTGCTCTCATATCTTAAGACTTTAGGGTTTGTTGAGGGTCAGATAGTCTGAGATTGTGAAAATCTATTTGAGAGATTACCCAGCTATGACAGTGGGAACTATAAGAAACTCTCTTCCCCTCTTGGCCTCAATTTCTTTATAAAAGGATTAGATCTGAATACTGTATCCTGTATTATAGACTCACATGTTCATAGTCCGTCTCCCCACAGGAATGAAAGCTCCATGAGGGTAGGGGCCTCGGTGCCGCTCTGTTCCCAGCACCACGACAGTGCTTGCCTCGTAACAGGTATCCAGTAAATACAAGACGCTTCAAACATTCACAGAGGGGCTGGCAGGTAGCATGGTGGCTAGAGGCGCTGGACTCCAACATGGTCGACCATGGCTCAAGTCCCAGACCTAATGATTTGCTTTCTCACTTACCCTCTCTCTGTCACTCTCTGGTCAAAATTTAAAATAATAATAATAATAATAAATAAAGTTAAATAAAATAACTCTTTAATTTTTTAAAAAAGTTCATAGAAAAATGGAGTTAAAGTACAAATTTATTTTGGTGCAAAAACATTTTGAAACCCATAGTTGTGTGGTTAAGGTGGCCGGATCCCACATGACTGGCTGCATGGTTCAAGTCCTGGACCCGGTGACTAGAGAAACATGCCAAGTCCGTGTATATATGCTCAAAATCCCCCCCAAAAAAAGGGAGAAATAGAAAAGGGTGTGCAGTGTGACCATTCTCTGTCTCTCTCTGGCAAGCCCACGCACCTTTTGTAAAGCAAGAAGAAAGGAAGAGAAAGAAAAAATACCCTGCATAGTTTCTTCACCATATACATTATCTATAAACATCTGAAGACCCTACATATTTGTTAAATGGATTAATTAACCCATCTGTAAAGCAGCCTTTAGGGGCCAGCAGGTGGCATGAGGGGTAGGGGCCGACCACAGTTCAAGTCTCAGACCTGGTGGCTTGCTTTCTCGCTTTCCCTCTCTCAGTCTCTCTCTCTCTGTCTTTCTGGTTAAATTAAGAAATAAAATGAATGAATAAATAAAATTAAATAAATAATTATTTAAAAAAAAAAAAAGGACGCTTTTAAGGCCCCAGGGAGCGGGCAGCCTTTAGAGGCCACAGGTAGTGTGGTGATTAAGGCGCTGGACTCCCATATGACTGTTTGAGTCCCAGACCTGGTGGCTTGCTCTCTCTCTCTCTCTCTCTCTCTCTCTCCTCTCTCGCCCATATCGAAGAATAATAAATAAAATACATAATTATTTTCAGAAAAGGGGCCCTGGGACCAGCAGTTAGCATAATGGCTGTGTCGCTGGACTCCCATGTAGTCGACAGCAGGTCAAAGACTGGACCCGGTGGG